GTTACGAACAAGATATTGTTATCGAGACGATCGTTGTGATACTCGCCTAAAAGATTCTTATGCTCTAAAGCGACAGGGGTCTTTCTTATTGGCATTAACGATAAGATGTTACTCCGAAGTCTCGGTACATACGTGTAGAGTGAGAAACTATAAGTTCGTGAACACGAGGTGCCAACTGTGAATAAATCGAGTTGCAGAGAAGATCGGCCAAAAATCAGCCGAAAATCGAACCGTTGGTCCTTTGGTCACGAATCAGAGCCTCGGTCACTCGGGCTAGTTAATTACGAAATACCAGATAAAGGTGTTAATATTTACGGTGATAAACAAGCATACACGAGAAATTAATAAAAATGAAAAATCTTCTAGCCACGAGATCGCATTTACGTTGCAAAGGCGAGTATCCGACTTTCGCAGAGGTAATTAAACTGGACGAAACTCGGTTTAATTGAAGAGCAGGCGACAGCTAACTGGAAGACACTGCAGCGGTCCATTGTGTTCGGTCTACAGTTCTCTAAAGCTTCCGTGCGAGTACATTGTGTCTCTTTGCCTTGCTAGCTTTTCACCCCTAGCCATTTGCTTTAAGGTACTGGCTAACTGGTCTTCTATTCCCGTTAGCGGCCATTAGTTGCTAGCCTTCGGATAAACTTGGCTAAACCCACCTGGACGTACATATGTACCAGGGTTAAATGGCAATTAATCGTCAGACCTGAGACCACGCAGTGGTCATTCAAATACCTCGTCAAAAACGAACTATGTAAATACTTGCGTATAAGGGTGCGTATTTTACTTGAAAGTAAAAGTATCGCGAGTTGCTTCCGACAGAATTTCTCGCAAGTGGACACCGCGTTGAGAATGACTAGGCGATCTAAATAGGCTACACGAACGTTAGACCGACAACGCTGCGTGACGTTGTAGAGATGCAGCCACACAACGCTAAATGTGCCACATTTTCGTATATGAGTGTATTTCTACAACGCAGGCCATGCAACACATTGTCGAGTTGGTCCAACGTTCGCGTAGCCCCGGCCTAATAGCGACTCGAGCAGTCGCTGTAAACGTACCATTGCTCCACTTGCGAAAAATACTCTCGAGAGCAACTCGCGATAATTTTACTAAAAAGCGAACGCTTGCCTTAAATATCGCCCGTATCGACTGTTCAATTTTCCTACAATCTCTGAGAATTGTTGGCCAGGGAAAGAAACAAAAGAAAGGAAAAGAAGGAGGCTGTTCGATTTGCCAAATCGGTTTTACGTATTCGGATCTCGCATCCGAGGCTCTCCCGAAAACGAGTTAAGAGAGTAGCCAAGAAAAGGAACAACGTGCGTGAACACAGCCAAACTGAATTCTCCTTTCCTTACAGTCGTGTTATTCTCTCACATCCGATGTTATTCCGAACACGTTTCCTCTTCCGCTGACCGTTCGACAGAACCCTAAACGTCTTGCGTAACCGGAAGCTGCCCAATGGAATCGACGGCGGATATCGACAACCATGACTGCAATGTAAATTCCTCGAATCGATTCGATAAATAATTTGGCGATATCGATTGCTGTTCTTCCATCGATTATCCTACGTGTAAAAGAATAATCTTCTATTCGTATTCAACCAGATGTTATTTTTGATATCGTCGATAATCGAAAAGAGCAAAATATCCATGAAAAACGAACGAAAATAATAGAACCACGGCTTAGGTACGTAGAGTCGCATATAAAATATCGTAGTTAAACGTTTTGTATCTGAAGTGATAATAGCGGAAGGCAGTAACCTAGTTATTATAAATATCATCAGAAATAGAAACCAGTGTCCATTCATGATCTAACAGCACGCGTTCAAGCCATACACACGTTGTATGTGTTTGCTAACTTTCGACGATGTTCGATTTCAGCTTGCAACTAGCAATTACAAAACGAATGTAGCTTTTCGAAATGTTACACGTTCTTAAGTGAACATTGAATTTAATGAAATTTCTTTCGTTTCTTACTTAGAAGAGTACTTCGGTAACACGAAAATTCTGATTTCTTTGAAACTGTTCGCGTTCGTGGGCATCTCCAGAGAATTATCGGACAATCATTTTTGCCCCTTTTCGTTTCTTCAGAACAAAAACATCCCTTGAATGGAGATAAGTGTTGCTCTATTTTCCCCATAGATCTTTAAAACTATAGCACATATAAAAAAATGGTTAGAACAAAAATCGAATGGCTTTACAAAACGATGATATTAAAATAGCAAAAATTTGTTGTTTAAACAAAAAGTCCACCACCGTTATAACGAAGAAATTTCGATCTTCTGTCACGTCGAAATGTATGTAAAGTAATTGCGAATAAATATGTTAAACCAGTCGGATAATGTGAACAAAGTGCTACGAGGTACTGTATATGATACGAAATGCCGAAATATCATTGTATCTGCGAGTACACATTAAACGCTATATCAAAGCAAGAAATTTGCAAGGTCTGTGCACCGGATACTTTACGCTTGATTGTCAGATATCATTGTTATTTTACGTCGTACGATAAAAATATACAACGCATCGTTCAAAGTGCAACGATGGGCGTGCAAGATGCACGTATCGGTTAAAATTATTTAAACATCAGTATATCCGACAAGTTTCAAATATTCAACATATTCATCTGCATCTATGCTATCGTACTTTTCAACGTAACAGGAAATTCGAAATTTTTCGCAATAACCATAGCGGATTTTTTATTTAAACGACAAATTTTTATCGCTTTAATAGCATCGTCTTAACAAGCGTAAAAAAACCATACAATTTTTATTCTAACCATTTGTTATTCTAACCCCGATCGACTACAGTTTTAAAGATGCAGAGAGAAATAAACCTATCTCCATTCAACCTGGTGTTCCTACCTCGAAGAATCGAAAATGAGCAAGAAAAGAATTGCGTGATACTTCTTTCGAGATCCCCTACAAGCCTGCGCACTTTCAAAGAAATCAGAATTTTCGGGTTACCGAAGTTCCCTTGCTAGTTACCAGAGAAGAGATGTGTAGCTCTGACGCAGACACGAACACCATTTTTCTAGATAGAGATTTTGGTTGTATCAATTCGTCCCGAGGTATACGCGTGCTTACGTATGTATAATTCTATTTTATCTGTTATTAATCCACTATTGAAAGCATTTTGCGACGAATTCATTCGATAGCTAAAAGTCTAACTTTCTGAAAGCTATCAGCCAACCACCAAACTACGCGTCTCGTATTGCAACGAGAAACGTGACTAAAACAGGCAACTAATTAGCGATCCGTAGATCGGTGTGCACCAGCTCGGTCGGCACACGTCAACCGTACACGTAGTTGCTACTCTTCGCAAAACCGCTATCGTACCGCAGCTTGATTTCGTAGACGTCGATATGAAAACGGCGTTCAAGAATTATGTCATGGTTTCGGATGATTTCGCGTACGATTCGACGCTTTTCAATCGGACGACGTTGTTTTCCATTAAAAAGAGATATCGCAAAAATGACACCGATCTTGAATATCAAAGTCAAAGTTTCTTCTCATCGAATCGCGCAATACTCGTTACGAGGAACGAAAAAGTCAAAAGTATCATGGGTCGCAAACGAACCGTTCTCTCGGTAAATGATCTTAACGTTGCATTGGCTCTTACATTGACATTATTCGCCATACGTCCATATTTCGCTAAAGATAGCTACCAAAGTATCGCGTTATTTTTAAAAAGAAAAAGGGGAAGAAAAGTTTGCACCCTCGTTTCGACATTGGCATATTTGCTATACCGTGATGCTCTACGTTTCTTCTGTTTCACCGGTCAGTTTTACGCATAAGCGACCTTGTGTGTACTGTGTAAATCACTTTGACTATTAGAGCAAGAATTATCAATCGTAGTCGTTCAAGGCTACCAAAAAATAATTTAGTCATTGCTTGATTCATCGCTGCGCGGATGGTTTCTCAGCGATCTCTTTGTTCTTCCGTGATTATGACGTATATCCATACGAAGGTAACAATAGAAAGATCTGTGAATGGGAATCGAACAAAGTACGTAGAAAGAAACTGCGCGCGACTAAAGTACACAGACCTGTACGATGGTTAGAAAGATTGTTAGAAACGATGGAAGGCAATAGCCGAAATCAAATGGGACCTAATGAAACGCGAACGCGAATAAATTCGTTCGAAACAAAGGTCACGTCGATATTTTCGAAAGTTGGAAACTGATCGTGGACGAACGACCGTATCGCAAACCGAATTCTCGTGCAGTCTAGTTGTACAGTTGCATCGTAACGAAACCACGATGCAGGATTTATCGTCGAACATTCATTTCGGCCACTTGTACCGCGTTCGGTAATATCCGGCTGGAACGTTTCCGGAATGAAATGAGAAATTTCCGCCTCGGCTCGACGGAAAATGATTATCGATTAGTATCCACTGGTTAAAATACTGACTATTCGTTCGTTTATCCATCCGTCCGTTTGTTTGTTCGTTCGTGCAACTTTGCAGGGAGAAACGATAAATAATAACGAAGAGAAGAAGAAAGAAAGATACGACGGGCTTTTTAATCGGGACAAACCGAAAAAGGAAGGAAGAACGATCGGTTTTCACATTTATTCGAAAGAATTTGTGATTTTACATAGCGATGAAAACTTTGTGGCATACGGTCGCGACAATGTACCATTTCCCAGCGTTTATTTCCGGACACGATCGTTTATTTGTTTAAATTTTACATTCGACGCAGTGGTACACGAGATGCTTAAAAATACGAATCGTGGTAGCCCATTAGACCACGTCGATTGTATTTTCGTTCGTTCGTTTTTAACTGTCGAGGTTGACTGATGGAAGAACGAGTGGATGAATTTGTAATAGAAAAATATAGTGAAATAAAGGTATAGGTATAACTATATAATGTATGCTGATCCCCAGATCCTCGCTCTTATAGTGTTAGAATACGTCAGAAGATGCGACAGGAAAGAACATTACCAAAAAGTTAATCTTGTAACTCTAGCTGAAGGCAACAAGAAACAGCAATAGAAATCTGCTTATAATTCTCTTCTTTCTAGACGTTGTAATCCAAAACAAAATTTATATTCAAGAGCACAATAATATGCACCTCTCCTTATTTAGAATCTTTCGTTGCATTAAATTCTGTTCTCTTCGTAACAGCGGTCTCCAGATCCCGGGTATACAAAGGAAAAGGTGTAGAGTTTTTCTTGAAGTAATTACTTCGACATTAATTATTTCGAGTCCCATCAATTTCCGGGCTTATTAGCGACTGGATTTGGTAGAACGAGCTTTTCTGACTGAGCGCGAGGGATGATGACGGACCTCTATAGTTTTAGGTGTATTCCGAAGCACCAGATACGCTACAAATAAATCGAGTTGCAGAGGCGTCGACCGAAAATCGATCGGAATTCGAAGCAGCGAACCTTCGGGCACGAAATCGCATCTATCGAGTTAACTCTCTGTTCCTTTCAGTTTGTCTACTTGCGTTTGCAAGATATTACGCGAAATAAATTAATCGGTGAACGACCGAGCGCCAAAATTTCAGCAAGGTCTATAAGAATTCGATGGTTGTATGGTGAAGTCCGAGGGGAAAGAAACTAAGCGAAACGCGAGAGATTGGAGAAAAGATAAGGAAACTCGGGGAACTGAAAGGACGAAACTTGTTCCGGGAGTAAATCCTTAGAAACGGCGAGGATGCGCCGACTACGGCCACGACCACGACCACACCCTGCCATTCGATACGCGTACACGCGCTCCACTCGTAAACCAGTCTAATTTTCCTAGCTCGCTCGCCACGCGCGTTTATTTTCTCCCCTTTTCCTCTTTCCGTTTCCCTGTTTTTCGTTTATTCCAATAACGCAAGAAATATTCGACGACCATGTTCTCGCGCTGAAACAGCACGCGATACGTATAAGGTGGCGAGTAGAACAGAATCAGCGGGCCTCGTCATTATTTTAAATAAAGCAATTTGTAAAGCGACTGTTTCGACGATACCTCGCATTAGTCGGAGTTTATGGTTTACAGGGTGTATGCTGTGAATGTCGCCACTATTTTTCAGATTTTCGATAATCCGATAAAAGAATGTTTCCGTAAAAACGAAACGGAAATGAAAAGCAATCGAAGAACGGCATGCAAAGTTGCGTGTATAGAATCAGACGTTGCGTTCAGACGGTCGAAAATCAATCTGTCTGCCACGAAAAGTAATTCCTCGAATGAGTCACGCACGTACACTACATACAGCGACCCCTAAAAATATTCGTACACTACGCTATGACTAACTTTATGGTTCGATATTTCGCTTCTTTATAAAGCAATCGTCCAGGTTATTTTTTTTTTAATAACGCGTCATTCGTTAGTATTAGTAAAAGCGTGTAACTTAATTATTAAAAATTCACATGCATCGTATAATCTGAATTGAAAAATTGCCGAAGAAAATGATGTCGTATATCCAGCTTATAAAAACGTTCGAACACGTCTTACATTTTTCTGTTCTCTATCTCTTTCTCGTAATCCTACGTTCCAAGAAGGCAGAGAAGACGCGTGTTTATGAATAGCATTTAGAGATGCATTAGACGTTCATGACTTCTTGCTACTCCTCGGTAGCAAATGTGACTTTGTCCAAAATCTGTCGCAAAGGAAAAATACGACGGTCGATATGCGACAACTTGTAATTTTCCACCGGGGAAAGGGAGAAACCTATCGTGAAATTGGTGCTGCGCTTCGTGTAATCCCAAGTACTGTTGCGGATATCATTCGACGATTTCATTCCGAAAATTGCGTTGGATCAAACTGGCGCGCCAAGTCTTTCAAGTACGAGAGAGAAAAACAGAATTATCCGAAAAGTGAAAGAAAATCCGCAAATAAGTGTTTTAAAAATAGTTAGTTATTAGAAAAAAAGCTAGAAAAACGTTTCGGCCGAAACAATTCGGGAAACGATCAGGCAAACTGTTTACAACGGAAGAATAACTAGAGAACGATCGTTCATCGATAAGACGAACAGGAAGAAACGAATTTGCAAAGAAGCTTATTTCTAAGGATGAGTCACGATGGAAGGGCGTAATATTTTCAAATTTAATCTCTACAATTTCGACGAAAGGACTCTGGTGTAGCGAAAACGGAATAAAGAATCCATTTCAGGAATACAAGATGTACGATGAAACAAGGGGGAGTGAACGTTATGGTCCGAGGCTGAATTTCCTCGTATGAAGTTGGAAATTTGGAGCTCGTTGACAACATTACGGATAAAAATCTTTACTTAAACGTATTTAAAAGCAATTTAGTTAAAAATTTATTTAGGAAATGGGGATTAATAATAGTCGTAAGTTTCGTCAGGGCGACGACCCCGAGCATAAGGCACGCATTATGCTACAGTGTTTATTATACAGGGTGGTTGGTAACTGGCAAGATTGAGCTAATAAAATTATTAGAGTTATTGAACGAAAATAGACGTATCAAAAAATGATTCTTGTCCTGAAGAAACTACCATAGTTGAGATAACGAAAAGATTAATTCGTCTAATCAAGAAATATTCCCTGAGTCTGCTATCGTTATACAGGCTAACTGGTGGTACAAGCGGAAAGGATGTGATTCTACGCGAAAAAAGAAGTCGAAAATATAGAACAAAAATTTAAAAATTTAAAGATTTAAAAAATTAAAAAAATAACGTCAATCGAGACAACGATCTACAGTGAGATCCGTTATAACGAGACGCGATAAAGTGGACGCGTACCGAGCGAAAATTCAAAGTCGATTTTCTCGAAAACAAAGCCTCGAACGAAAAATTTTTATTCTATATTTTCGACTTCTTTTTTCGCGTAAAATCACCCCCTTTCCGCTTGTACCACCAGTTACCAACCACCCTGTATAAATTCTTCATCTCCGTGACAATCGTCGGACTTTGATCCGGAATCGAGAATTCACGAGACGAATTACACAGGAAAATTCAGGAAACTCCAAATCGAATGGGCGTGTATATCCGTAGAATATCTTTAAAAAATTTTAAACAATACGTCAAACAGATTAAAACATGTTCTAAAACAAACTGTACAAATTTCCTCACGTAGTCATTTTATAATACTAAATTATGTTAATAAATAATAAAAAGAAACGGTATCCGAATATCTTTGTGAGTCAAAAATACGTTATTTCTTTTGATAATTGTTATTAATATTAATACGACTTATTATTAACAAAATAATTGGGACGACTGCTTTATAAACAACCGATATATCGAGTCATAAAGTCATACTGTAGTGTCTGAATATTTTTGGGTGTCACTGTACACACAACCCATCGAGTACAAACGCGTCGACGTTCTATTCCAGCGAACTCGAACTTTTCATATCAACTTCAATGTCGGCTATTTGTTTCTCGATGGATGGATAAGTATCGGTGACTTCTAATTCAAACGCGCAATTTCGTAGAAAATTCTAGAATCTCTCGATAGTTCTATCGCTGAGACAGACTTGGCCTAAATTCGGTTTCAGCCAACTTTATGCAAACAGCGCACATCTCTAATGGTGGCGACCGCAGTTGGCGAGCTGCGATTCTGCAAACTGCAAACAATCGCGAGCGACAGATCTATTCGAGGGATAACTCGTACGAGGTGGTGCGCGTTTACTGTTTACGCGACCAGCATGTTCGGGTACCTACTTACTATCCTCGGACGCGCGTCGTATCTCAATGGACTAGTGGAATCGATGTAAACTTTTCTCTGGAAGTAGCCGCCGCGAACAGATTAATCGTTCGCGACAAGGTAGCTAGCTCTCCTCGTCGTTTCGAGAACATAATCACCAGCCACGTATCCAGGCAACGCGACATTTATGGCTTAAGGTAAAGCCCGCGATTTCCAACGTATACAGCTTTCCAAGATCTGTATCATATCGCTGTAACATCTAGTACTCCAGTGGTCTGATAGGTCGTCGAAGGAAAGGATCGCCTTCGAACAAGAGGAAAATTAACATTTAACAGAGATTCTCTGCTATTGCTACCCTACGTAATTTCGTTATTTCTCCGTACTCTTTTCAATTATACGCAGTGTACAATATTTATACCGTCGACGAAACAAATTAACAATGTGCACACACATGTACATTCTACATTGGTGCGTCTATGAAATGCAAAAGAATTATCGCTATCGTTCCCATGGGCGTTTTCATTTTATCATTTGGAAAGCATCGTTAGCGTTGATTTTTGCGGATGACGTGTCGCTCTTCTAGGGAGCCGACGCGACGCGACGATGCGTATCTTCGTGTACTTTTTATTCCTCTTGGTTAAAACGATCGCAGAGCGTATCGAAAACTTGTAAAATCGCAAAAGTAACGGGGAAAATAATGGTGAATGATAAAGCGTATAAAAAGTTGGAAGAACGACAAGAGTTAAACGAGCCACACGTGACTCATGGAAGCTTCAGCAGAAAGCCGATTGAGCGAGTTGTTCGTCCCGATACGTCCAGGAGTTGTGTAGACCGCGCTAGTCGTCAACTCCGACGGAGGAATCTAATTTTACAACGACCTATATTTAGCTGAAATTTATTCCAGCAACGGCGTGCACCGGGTCACCGGACTTCTATTTTACCAATGCGATATCTCCACCGTCGGCCTAACTCGAGGGCGAGCACGCTTTTCTTACCGTTACTTTTGTCGACTATGTACATACTACTTTTATTTTTGCTATACACTTCGATGCGGGTAGTCGTTACGTACACCATAAAGGTAGAGTCTCTAGCAATTTTATTTAAAATAAAAGAACGCATGGAAAACTTGGAATCGTGATTTTCGTAAATCTGACAATTTGTCGAATCGTTTATCAACGACAAGTTAGAAATCGCCTTTCGGACATTCTAACGTACCCAGGAGACTAAAGGATCCCAATATGTAACAACGTAGGCGCCTATAACACGTAATCGTAGGCTCGTTGTTGCCAGTCGTCGGACAATAGAATCAAGCGTCGCGACTTCCTGGGTTAAATGCATTCTTGCAGAGACGATTACCGTTGTCAATAAGACCTGGACCTTTTAATTTACCGTTAAGTCGAACTGGGTGACTAATCGTTAGAGTATATCGAGTCACCGGCCTCTGAAAGTCAAGTGTCTTGTCATCGTTCTCGCGATGAAATTCACGTATGAATTCGTCCGCTTCGTCGCTGCTCCGATCAATTTTCGATTAATGTTAATTCGCTCGATCGAATGAAAAATATCGGATACGTGCTATACCTGCTGGCATATAAATTACAGTACTTGTCTTCGTCTTTTCAAAGAAAATCTTTAGAAACGAGCTACTCCTTCGAACAGACGAAAATATTACGTAATTTGCATAAGTTGTTCGTCAAGTTATTCGTGGGAAATACCGTAGGCAATACAGAGAGTTAGGCAAGAATAACACAATTTTCGACGTAATATCGATCTACTGGCTGGTGCTTTGATAAATCTCGACAACTTACTGAATTTCTCGCTACCGAACAATTAAACTCTGCGAACTCGTTGATGCGAAACGAATGAACAAATACATTCCACGAACAACTTCGAGCGAATAAAAGATTGTTTTCCTCGTACGAAAATTTCGTCAAACGAGTAAACGAATGAGTCATCTTTAATCGGATTTATTCGAAGAGAAAGGTATTTCCTCTTTAGGAAATGCGTCCTCGTTAAAAAGAATCTTTAGAGGAAAGAACTGGACGACGCGTCACGGTTTCTACGATCAAATTCTATTTAATCAACGTAGCTCGTAAGTGATTCCTTCGAGTCAAACTCGAATCGTTCTAAAACTGTTTCGCTCGTTAAAGAATATTCGAGAAAGATATCGCGATAGATTCAACGCTTAAAGCAAAGAGATCGATTCGATTTGAAATTGATATAACGAAAATCACTGCTAACGATCTAGGGACCGAAGAGGAGAGAAAATTCGCTTCTATGCAGCTTGCACTAAGAACAAATTTCCCGGTGTCAATTAATCACGCAAATTAGTTATTGCACATTTTCGGCAATGACCAATCGCCATGGAATTTGATGATTTCGGTTAAGATCCAAATCGTCGATCGAAATAATCTGTCTGTCGTGTAAAACTTCGCGAGTTTTCTTCCCGTTAATCCGTTCGTTGCGTTACGGTTACGCTATTCGGCTTTTTCCCCTAGATACAAGTTATAACGAAGTACAAAGGCCTCGATTGTTTTTCAAGCGACCGTTCTTTTCGACGCATCTAAGAGGTCGCGCGAACGTCAAGTGCGTTTATTAGCCGCGCGATACAACTTTTACGAGCGTTACCTAAAAACGTAAAGTCTCGTGGACTCGCACAATGCAATGCCTTGTTCCCGGAGCGATCTCTTTTCACGAACATGGACTTTTCTGCCACTTGAGAATCATTTCGAGCTTTTTCATACCGTTTTTTCGCAACGTGCAAACAGCCATCGACGATGGATAGGCTAGCCCTCTACGTATTAGCGGAAAGTTGTTCAACGTTACAGCTGCCTACGATACGCTGGTACGTCGAGAAATAAATAGACACGTGCGATTATCTTAAACGCTACTTCGATAAAAACCAACGCTAATTTTGTCAAAAGGACAGATGCGTGTTTTTCAGAATTGCGAAAACGAGATTTGCTCCGAGTCAGAATCTCTCGAAGCTTTTACGGTTTGGATCGTCGCTATTCGCAACACCGTTACACGTAGCACCGATTCGCTTGACATTGCTTCTTCTAACGCTATTCCAGACTTCCAGGAAAGAGCCGAGTCCAGAAGGAAAACGAAGGAAGGAAAGGAATTCTTTCCCGGAAGCCTCGAACGGCGTTAGAAGAAGCAGCGTTAAATGTATCGGCGCTAAGTGTACGTTGCGTAATTTATTTCGTTAACTGCCTGTGCAGCTTTCGGTGTAAAAAATAAAATTCTCGAATTTTCGACTTCTTTTCCCTCGTTCGTGCTACCAGCGTGTACCGATATATATGCATACACAGTTATCGATCCTCGCAGCAGGGAAGACATCGTTTTCTCGAGCATTCGTTAAGGATACTGTTGTTTCGTGACTAATAAATTCCTTACTCATCGTGGCTGCGCTGCGTGTAAGATACGATGAAATTCTACAAGAAGAAAGAAACGAAACCGCCGTAAGTACACGCATCCGCAAATAATTGCGAGCATAGGCTGGTCAACGATGAATCAGAAAACATCCGGTTTCCTTCGTGTATACTCGAATCGCTTCAACCTTATATTCCGTTCTCTTCTACAAACGACAAATGCAATAAGGAAGTAACCGCTGCAACCGCTGCAAAAACCGATTACAATCGCCGCTTCTCCACGTTTTATCGTATTCAGCGAGCAAACTTCCCGCAAACGTTAATTTCGAGTAGCCCAAACGTATTCCTAATCGTGCGATGTAGACGAGCGACGTGTCGACTGTAAAAGTTTTTGCAAATATCGTTAACGTATCATGGCTGAAAATGAAATCGTGGCAGCCTATATTCCTAGAAGGTTTATTTTCCACGTAGCAACGTTATTTCACCACGAGAGTATTTAACCGTCGAGCAGGAAAAGAGAGTTGTAGCGAAAGATTACAGCTGCTATTCATTGTTTTGCTATTCTCCGGCCCCGTAAGGTATTCCTGTGAAGGGTGACTTAAACGAATTTATGCTCGAGCCTGAAAAGACCGCTCCCACGCTGTGACAACTTCACGGCCCGTTTTCATCCGCTGCGCCGTGTAAATATTTGTTACGCTGAACGCGATGCGAACCACGAGGAAAGAATGGGTCAACGAAATAACGTATAGCCATTGAATACGTCGCTACATGTATAGGCTAGAAAAGAGGAATAGGAGCGAAGGAGAGCGAACGTTAGAAGAAACGAACGAAACGTATAGCAACGGAAAGAGAAACGGCTAAAATGCAAAGAGCGAAAGAAGTTTGTGATAAAAAAGAGAAAGAGAAAGAGGAAAGAAAGGGAGACGACATCGAGAGCGAGATGGAACAAAGGGCGTAGTCGCACCCTCCATTCACGACAGTCGGTTCATCCACGGGCGTCCGTTCGAAAAAAGAATAAACAATAGATACAAGATTAATATTAAACGCTGGACATTACAACGACGAAGAAATATAGGACGCGAAACCAACATTTAATAATTTTACTTATGTCCCTCGATACCTCCCAAACATCTCGTTGCTCTTTGTTGATTTCAAGAATTGTTTGAAACTGTTTGAAAGCTAATTTGTACCTATTAATCTCACCAAATAGCCTAATTTACGAAAGCGAACGTTTTATTCGTACGACGAGTAACAAGCGAAGATAGACAAAGTAATTGTTATTCGTGAATGACGAATAACGTTATTCATTCGCAAAATTAATTCGTCTTTGTCGCTTTAGGAATACCGATACAACGAGGACTCAGGGACAAATATGCGAATAATTAACAACAGATGGCAAGTTTTAAATAACGAATAATAGCGAGATTCGCGGATAAAACTACTCGAACGACGTCGATGAAAAATGTATTCGAACAACGCTCGATTTTCTACGTTACCAATAGCAACGAATTAATTTGTTCATTTTATCCTACGAGAAACGATGTATGTAATTATTGCTGGAACATCTGCGCGCGATACTCCGCGACGATCTATGGCATGTGGCATATGTGTATTATCAACGCAAGCGTCGAGCGCGTATATCGCAGCGGCGCCGTTACGCGATTGGCGCAGACGATGGATGTTGCCCGTGTGATTCGGGTTTAAGGCTGCTTCGGACACAGCCGCGGCGAACCCACCGAGGAAACCCGACCGTAAGACAAAAAAGAAAAGGAAAAAGATTTCGAAACGTTTAAAAACTTATACACACATTCGGAAGCTAGAAAATGTAACAGTTTTTATCCTCCAATTGGGAAATATTTTATCGTATAGTTCGAGTTTTGAAAAAGAACCGACATCTGTTTGCCACGTAGATGAATAATAGAAGAAATTGAATTCCAGTAGACTGTAATTTCGTAATAAAATACAAACTAACGATCAAACCGTCGAACAAAGCAAAACTCTGTCAACTATTCGGACGATGCTCTACGTAGGTACGTACGTACGTACATAATACGATATATTCGAAAATGGAAACGAGTACTAGAGTACTCCGATAAGATACTCGATACACGAATCGTTAGTGGCATATTAATCTACGTACGAACGAATGTCGAGTAGTAACGCGGCCAAGTAGAAATTTGCCAAAAGAAAAAAGAAAAGGTTAAAATCTAAGAGGCGGTAGAGAAATGTAGAGGAAGCGATAGTAAAGAAGAGAGTTCCTCGGAATTTCCATAAAACGGCAGAACAATTTTTCAAAGTGAATGAAAATTTCTAGTGGCGGAAAAAGTCGGGATTCGGCTTGTTCGGTTTTAGCAGTGACGAACGAGTAGCGACGAAGTTTCGCATTGGAAGCTTGCAAACTGATTTCCATAGAAATTCGATTTCACCATAGGCAATGGCACGCGCTATCTGCAAACTTTAAATTCGCAACTGAAAATCTGCTTTTTTTCGCGAGAACAAACGAAACGCGCGTATGTACAAACGTTAAAACCACGAAAATTAAAAATACACATATACGAGTCGGTACGTCCAACCAAAAACGCTTTTGTCATCGCGACGTTTTCCTGTCTGACTAATCCTTGGTACTTTATCTCAGAATGACTAATAAGAAGTTTCATCGTTAATTGAGACGCACAGCTGCGCCAAACGAATCGTCTTTCTTCTTTGGATAAAATAAACCCTAAGAATAATTACCACCGGTAATTAGCATAAACCTTGTGTTTCCGGGCAAACGAATCGCAACAGGGCTGCAAGCTTCGTCGAAATTGCCCGATCTACCTAAACGCAGATTTCGTTTTTCTAACGAAGCATCGAACACGCGCGATTGCAAAAAAATATCTGTCGCAAAATCATTCGATACACGTGGACAGTTCGTTAGAGAAATAACTAGAGACACTCGCGTATTCGAGAATCAACAAGGCGTTTTTTCTTATCGTATAGAGGCAAGGTGATCGATTTTTCTCGAGTTTTTGTAGCTGGCAGAGTCTATCGATGGGTGGAGTTGGCTCGCCACATGTGTTACTAATTACGCCAGACTGGCCGTTTCGCACGGATCCGATATAGAGGATCCAGAGCTATTCTTCGATTCTCCGTTCGCCACCGAGTCACGCATCGCTGTATCTCGATCTTGCGCACGATTTATCGATCGTCAAACGGCGAGACGACACGCTTCTGGAATCTTGGAAACCGATCACGAAGTCAACGTTGCATTGCAACGCGACAGAAATCTTTCACCGGTTATATAACGCTATAGCTAAAACGATGTTTACGCAGGATTTTACCTCTTATCGTTTCCTATGTGAAAGCAATACCTACGAATCGAGTGTAATCCACTACTCGAAGTAAACGAATAACGGGCAATATTTTTCATCGGCGTACCTACTATCGTTTATTCGAGGACAAATTTTTAAGCGCGTAAATTACCGCCAGTGGCGGTAGTACGAGCGTGAAAGTGTCGCGCAAACTATACGAATTACACTCGCTGAAGGAAATTGTATCAAGCTTTCAGGGTCGACCGTAATTACGAGGGAACTTTGTTTCATTAGAAGCGGCTCGATCCCACATTCACCGTAATTGTACGTCGCCTGAACCGTTTTCGTTTTTAATTTCAACGACGAATATTTTGTATACCGCTCACGAGAAAACGAACAAATAGAAATGCGTAATAGGAACGGAAAAGCAAAATCTAATATCGATAAATAATACGGTTCTTCTATGTATCTTGGTCACGTGCGAATGTACACGAACTCGGCGACAACGTATTTAAACAAGTTCGATCGAGCAAGTTTCTTAATAAAATGCTAGTTATCAGTGACGTTAGAAACGATAGAACGAAACAAACTTTACAGCTGTTTACCCGTTCAGCTGGATGTTCAATTACGATCAAGCGTATTTGACGCGAGATATCGATTTACAAGAAAATAGGCACGTTTGAACGAAAGAGCAGCGACCTAAAGTCGTTTTCTTTGCTGTTTTTCCCCTGGAGACTTTCCCCAACGCCACGCTCGCTCGTCAGGCTCAAAGTGGACGGAACAAAACGAAATGACGCGACGACACACACGTGCCCTCTCTTGATTAGCGTCTAGACGCGTTGCTTGCGTACAGACCAACGTAACCTACATACACTGTCACCCGTCAGTTTAGTATCCGGACACTTTGCTCGATTTTTAGTACGTAATAGGACGCAAACACCGGCTTCGAACGCAAAAATTAACGACAAATCGGTCGTCTGTAACGACGATTTTATTCGACATCGTGATTTTTCGAGCGCGACAGGTTAACGTATTTAAAGATGATACTAACCGAGGATATGTTTCGAACGCGAGTTACTCGTTGACCAAACGCGTACACACATGCTTATACAGAGGGCACAAGTGCGTGTGTCACATCTTGACACACAGCCGAAGCATTCTGTATACGCGCCGGCGCTTCCTGCAGTTAACGACCTCGATTGCATATAAATGCCTGGCTTAATGGTTTCGAAGTAAGGCCGAAGGCCTCCACTGATAAAATCCACTCTCTCCTAGCGGGATTCACGACGCCCATTAAGCCTCTTTCACACGAATATCTATCGGACGATGTCTATGGTTCGCGTGGTCATGCATTTATCGCCTTATATTATATTATCGTAACGATTGCATCCAAAATAACCAACTTGTCGCTGTATATCGCTACATCGGTCGATCGTGGAGAAAAGCAGCGGTTGAATTGCATCGATCCGTAATCTTTACGTTCCCGTCTATGACTTTCGTCGACGTGTCTTCGTAATCGTGTCTTGTTCACATCGGTACACGGTGTCGACGAGTTATTAATACGAGGTTGCTATGAAATGGTCAGTCGGAGATTAGTCGGTTGTAAAATACTCGATAAATACAATTGGTTGGAAGATAGTAGGAAACGAAAGAAAGAAATAGTTACGCAGGAAGGAGGGTTGTGACGACGCAGGCGCTACGTCTGAAAGCTCGCAGTCGATATACGCGACTTTTGGACTGACTGGCTCTTAGTCATCTCGGCACACATTCGCAAACTGGCTCTGTTCGTGACACACGCACGAAGTAATGCCACGTACACGCGTTCGAGACCGTGCAAAGAAAAGAGTTAAGCGTGAGCTTAGACACGCTACCAGGGTTAAATATATTTTCCGTAATCGCGTTCAAACTTTCTTATACAGCGTGTACCATCAAACTCGGCTTCAAGCGTTATTCGCTTTGTCGTTCGTCGTGTAAAATGCTATACGCGTTAAATAAGCCTCTACTACCTACGATCGACGCTTCGATGCGTTAAAATACCATCGATTCCTCGATACCGCTATACGCGCACTAATCGGTGTTTAAATATTCGTGCGAGTCGTTTCACTAAGATACGAACAAGATGGAAACGTGAGAGAAGTATGGCTCAAACTGCAGATCGGGTGTCCTTGAACGGGCAACATTCGTGGCCCTTGATTTAGTATTCCGTGTGTTCGACTTCCTACGTTTCCCCCCGAAACTTCAACCCTCGCTTTTAGCATTAACAGATCTCGTGTGAAAAAAGAGAAAGAAAATGCAAAGCGTCAGCCACAATCGCACGCAAGTGGGACAGCGCCGTTCTGTATTTTTAAAGCAGTTAGAAATGGAAGAAAGTGTCACAATGTGCGTGTACATGCATCGCATAATTAATTCTTCGCGTATGCATTTTTACGATCTCATCCAACGTTTCGCATAACGACGTTCTCCTCTTTTTTTCGTAAACGGAATCCTATACTTTTTGGGTGTAGTCTGGTCGACGTAACTTTTTATCGAGATACTTACTACTTAACGTGTCGATAATATTAATTTACGTTGTAACCAAAAGTGTGCAGTTGCCTTTAAACGCGCGCTACCTAAGGAATTTATTAGAAAAGGCGTACGCGAGGCGAACAAGTACCACGTACTACGCTAAGGTAGTGGTATCGATTACGAGGTACGGTAAACACGGATCAAAGCTTCTAATTGCGAATTAATACAACCAACAAACAACGCACTCGTTTCAAGTTCTAATTTTCCGACTATTCGAATTAACACGCACGTACTTCCAAGAACCCGAATAAAATTAAACTACTAGCAAAATTTTTCAAACATCACGTTCGAAACATCGTATTACATACGACGCGAAGATTTATCTTATTCTAATACAAAGGCTACAGTCACGTATAGTGAATCATAAAAATATATGTACTTTGTAAAACGAACGGTGTCGGATTCGATTCATTTTTTAAGCTTTTCTATTTAGTCGTTGTAAAGTAAAAGTTGCTGTTCGACGAAATAATCGTTCGTCGAATTGACAAAGGAACAGGTAACAGAAGCTGGGCTTTCGAGGTGTATCGCGAAACTTGTTAAAAATTCATCGGACGATGCGACGAATAATTAATCCCTATATTCCATGTCCCCTCTTGAGCTATACGTCAGCACCCACGCTATTGTCTTTATCTTTGCACGAGATCTTTGTTATTCGATTTGATCCAAAATAGTCGATGGATCGTCAAGAGCGACGCAAAGTATGCGTTACTGTACGACGATCTAGACATCCATTTCGTTCGAAGATCGTGTCGGAATAAAGTCCCGTCGTAAAACCGTGAAGCAAAGCAACCGTTATCGATCTTAATTCGCTCAACTTTTCCCAAGTATTTCGATTATACGAAAAATGATTAATCACGGTAATAAACGACGAATAGAACGTTAATACGAAAGTGAATATAAGCAAATGAAATTTGCAACTTTCTAGATGAAAGATACGTCCCACGCGTAAAATAACGAGCTACGACTTTACCCCGTAGAGAAGACGCAGCGATGGAAACGGGTACGATTAACCCGTAACTATTAAGACAAAGCGATGGTATCTGTCAAAAGACAGCGATATTTTCTTTCGTGTAATTCTCGTTTCGTTTAATTGGGAAAATACTCGACGGGGTGCGACGACGACGACTCCGTCTCGTGGCGTACCATGCCATTTACGTGAGAAAATGACCATCCATGAACCACTTACGAGTTAATTGTACAAGTAATGGAAAATTGTGTTCAGTCAACTCACCACTTTGTCGTCCGCGTAAATGACGGAAGATCGCGGTGCCCCGGTAGCCATCACAGTGAACAGCACCATCAAAGTCGTTCGAAGCAGTATCATCTTGTAACCGCGAATCTTTTCGTCGCAACAGGACCAACCAACACCAATTTTTATTCTCACTTGCACCAATCAACCAACAACAAGAAGTACATTCCCTCCGGGCAAAAAGAAACGCGATTTGACGATATACAGCAACTTTCAAATAACGGAACTTCACCACCGAGTTAAACCCGCACACGCGTTACGATTCTAGAAAATTATCGAAACGAATAAATATAAATCGATGTAAGAGTATCGCAGGTGGCATTCGTGTTCGTGTACGTGGCACGAGGTTTTCGCTACGCGAGGTATCAAAAAATCAGTTTGCAGACGGGGGAGAAAGGTAACGCCTCAAGAAGTTGACGAGAGAGCACCGATGGACATGTTCGAAGCGACCTTCCTAGGAGAACAACGATTTGCTCGATGCCACTCGATAGATATACGTATGTACACTTTTTTTCTCCTCTCGCTTGCACGATTTCCCACTCCCAGTTGGTTCGTAACGTGTCACACTCTTCTTCCGTTCTCGCTTCCTTCGCGCAAATCTGCCTACTTTCGTCAACTTGGCGTTTCTTCGCCGACGCCGACGCCGATGACGACGGATTTCCAGTTCGTTCTTTCCTCCGTGTTCGGACTTTCCAACTACTACCACGTCCATCCGCCGACCTACGACATTTTACACATCCTGTGATACTTATTACTTCGACAAATATCCGATCGACCCTATCGAAATACGTATAACTGGCAACTTTCTAGCTCGCAACGTTCAATATTTCTTACGCGTTTTAAAGCATCGAACGATATTTCATTCCGGATGCTTGTTCCACGTAACGAGGAAAGTCAGAGCCATTGGTCGAGGATTTACGTTTTTGTGGTTTGCAGATGATTCGTCGCGTTTCGAGAGAAACACGGGAGGAAATTTCATATCACTGCCTACATACTCATAACCGTTTTCGTTCTTCCGATCGCCACCGGTTAAATAATTTCCTTCCTAGATAATAAGGTTCGTTAACTTAAGGTTTAAGAGTCAAGTGTTCGCCGTCTTCGAACTATACGTACAAGTCACGCTTGCCTTCTATCTCGCCAAAGAGAAAATACTCGAGAGACCGATTTATTTCGCTAAAAATTCCGTCAAAGACGATCCACGCTTGCGTTTAAATTCGTTCGCGGACAAATTTTATTTCTGCGATGTTATCGTTGCAAAGATCAGACTCTAGCGGTCCATGTACCATCAAGCTCGCCATCAAGAGGACGTAGATATACATCGAAAATGTAATTCTCAAAAGTCCTCGCTAACCATCCCCTTTCTACGAATCCTTTCCTTCTACGACCTGGCTTCCGCTATCTTGATATCTATGCAAGGGCCTGCTACTTAGGCAGACGCCTTTACGTTACTCTTCACACGCTACGGAAACAAAGATTCGGATCTCGAGCTTTTTCTTTCAAAGATACAAAATTTCTAATTAAGAATACCAAGAAATATTAGCTGCTCTCTGTCTTATTCGTAGTCGGATCCATTCCAGAAAATAAAACGTCCGTGTTTCTCGGTATTACGACGTAATAGGCAAACCATTCGATCCAACGTCCGTGTATTATAGTCGATCTCGCGGTATTTTCATGGTCGTAGTGAAAATACACGAACCCCTTATTCGAACGATAATACGACGAACGCGAAGCGTGAAATCAAAACACAAGTTCTAATTAGTCGATCGAGAAACATGGCGTAGCACGCGATCGATGAGCTCTGAAAACGCGCGAGGGTGAATTGCCATAAATATGATAAAAAAAAAAAAAAAAATCGGCGCGAGTCGTGGACAAACGACGGAAATGAATGGAAGATAAGTCGAGCCAAAGGAATACGAATCGTTATCGTACGGGAATGTGTTAACGCGTTAACGCAGGCTGACCTCGTTTTTCATATCGGTATATCGATAATTAAGCTAATTTTCGAAGTATCGTACATCGTGTCGGTGTCAAAGCGAAAAGTTATCGATAGAGAGATGTTTCTAGTTTTGATCTCTACGTCGACCAGATGGTACATAGATCGGAAACTCGATATTACGGAGAGTAACGGAAAAAGACACGGGACCATAGATAACGAGGAAAGACGCGCGAGCGTAACAAGTATCGATACTCACTTTTCAAATCGGCGATCGGTAAGACAGTTGAAATATCATAAAAGAAGCGTAGAACATTTCTGGTTCGATGCAACGTATAGTTTGTGCGTTTCCACGATGTATCATGATTGTGGTTTGTGTAATGCCAAGATGGTTCAAGGTCGATCAAAGAATTCCTCGCACGTTCAAATTTCCGGTATATTCGCGGTGTACCTTCTTTCCTTTTCCTCCCTTTATCCTTCCTCTTTGTTCCGTACAAACTTCTCGTCTCCTTATTGCAACGTGATTCGTCGGAATGTTATCCTAGCCGATCCTCGGTTATCTGTCTTTTGACTTTTTCCTTCCACCGGTCTATTCGAATTTCTTCCGCGATCTGCAATGGTTCAGCGTTCGATGCTTTTGGCAACGTCCCTAGAAAAGAGAAAGCACGTTGCACAAACGACTTCGCTCGACGTTTTGGAAACGCGTCGCATCGCATCGTGTCATCGAACGTACGAGGCCATTCACGCGTTTCCATCGTCGCGGCAAAACATACAAAGAGATAAGAATATAGGAGACACGGTTAGAGACTAGACACTTACAAAGTTTATTCGTTAATGGCATTAATGATAGGAGAAGGAAGTCGATCAAAATGATCGATCGATGCTCGGAGTATCTATGGCCGCCTAGACTCGATGGCTCGAACAAACATGGCTCGCGTTACGATCTTCAAAATTTTCATTTATATTTATGTTAGTTAGAAAATAGTCGAATTGTTATATATGTATGTATTTCTGATTCTTAATATCGATGGAAGAAAAAGAAACGTGGAAAAATGTACAAAAAAAGGTCGTATTGAAAAGCAGTGAAAATAATGAAACGAGGAATTGTTAGTTAGGCGATATGCGGTTAGACGTTAATAAAATATTTGCACGATTCGAAACGTTAAAACATTAGATTTCGCTGCTACAACGAAAAAAAAGTTTCACTGTATTTTTCTCTGGATAAATACCGTATGTTTTTAGTTTTTGGAAATACTGCACCCGTACTATTTTTCTATCGACCCTTTCGAGTACTTTGTACTTACGTTACTCTTTTCTGTTCCCTTTTTTCGCTTTGCAAATATTAAATCAGTGCCTGTTATTTGCATTCTATCAGAGAAAGATTCCTTAGTTCACCGCAACGTTGCAGTTTCGTGGAAAATCTAAACGAAACGAATAAAGAAGTTAAATATTTGCGACGATGACCAAAATATTCAAAGGTTACGCTACTCGAATGGATCGCGCGAGGAATTATCTTTTCGTATGAAGAGATTCTTTGTTTCAGCAATGTTGCTTGAAAAGCCGATAAGAGGTAACGATACAACCGGAGAAAATTATGATAAAACGTCATAGCGTAACTGCTATGATGAATGGATCGGGCATGCTCTCAATTTCTCCCGAGACATTGTACCAAGTGATACGTAAATCGATTTATTTTCATTTAATCGAACCACCGACAATTTCCTAATTTATCGTTTATCGTACAATTCAATTTGATATTCCTTATATCGTCTCTGCTTCGCATTCTCTGTATAATTACAGAGTTAAATGTTATTTCGCGTTTACGGCTTTCTAGTACACAAAGGTAGAACACGTGATTAACTATTTTTTTAGTAACTAAGTGTTCGGAATTTAAGAACTCGATAACAAAAGGTCTCGTGCCATTCGTCCGCGTCAATTTTCAGTTTACCTGCAATTTGTCATCGACTTCGCTTCCTTCTGATACCGTAGTATACATCGAGAAGCGAAGAAATATTTACACGTATAATAGAAAATAGTATTATATTATATTACAGTCTGGGTAATTAATTAATTCGTAATTTGAAAAAGAAAAATTTTACCGGTTCTCAATTTCTCAATTTCACGAGGGAACTTTGCGAATTGGCAACGGCAATGGAATTCGTCCAGGAGGTTCATCCTCCTGGTAGACACCATGATCAATTTTTCTTCGCTTCTAGAAGGCTAAAATTAAACTCGAAAAAACAACGCTTTCTTCGTCGTGTCGGGGTGGTAGTAATACGCTAAAAATTTTTCAAACCTATGCGCGAATATTTCAATTTTGAGTGAACGCTTTGTCGAAAAGAAAATTCCTTTTTTCTAATTTCGACTCGACTCGCTTAACGCGAACGTTTTGATCGCGAGTCGAACGAAAGAATCTTCGTTCCAATAAGAAAGTCACGAAAAAGAAGAAGCCGATTCGAGTGGTTTATCGTATATGTAGGTAGATATAAAGCAATGCGCGATAAAACGGTAGCTGAAACTGATTTTGAGGATCGACGGTTGAGCAAACGACTGCAAACAGGGGAAATATCGCAGCTGGCCAACAATCGAGGAATAACAAATTATTGTTCCAGCACTAGCGGCGCGGTAATTATGACACACGGTATACTATGATTTATAGGTTAACTCGTGAATATTTTAATCTTCGGTCGAATCATAGCATAATATTTGAACTTTTAAACAAATTGAGAAACCTATTTGTATTTGAACAAATTCGTCGTATCACCGACGCTTAATTAGATTCTAAAAAAGAAAGTTTCTTCGTTCTAAATAATTTTTCTTCGACTAAAATAACCCCAACGACCGAGAAGCGTAAAATTACTAGACGGATAAGCTATTGCTAATGGAGAGTGGAGTATAGACAGTGGAGACAGTTGAGCAATTTTTTAGTCGCCCACCAAGCTGGACACTGCACTGTCGCGATAAAATGGAAGCACGTGCGTCACAAAGGATACAATCCCTAGCGTGAGGCTCCAGCAACTCTATCGTAAAGGAAGGAAGAAAGAACACAAGTACGTGAAACACGTTCTGTCTCATAAAACGAACAATTTTTCACATTACTGGAACGAGTTAATTTATTTCGGCAACAATTTTTCAATCGCGACAAAGCGCCTCTTCTATGGTTTCCGTGGATACACGTGAACACACTATAGTATCTGTAGTACTTTCTCATAATCACGCATGATCGAACGAGAGGAAACAGTCAACTCCGACACGTCGTCGAAACTCACGGCCACGATACTTCCAACGACACAAAACGTCGTCCACTATATATGTAATTGCAAGTTGCGAGAAAAAGTACTATGAAACAACGGATTTTGATATTTACGTTGATATTTACGTTTCGATGATGTCTTCGATCGAGAATTACGTTTATACGGATGAAATTTCTATACTATAGCTTCGATCTCTTACCGAATTAGCGTGAAAATCAATCACCTTCGCGATCACGCTAATCGGTTTTACAATTGCGAGTACTAGAACGAAAGGCAGTGTTTACGTGCACCATGGAAAAAACGACGTAAAAAACCCCGCCGCGTACGGTGCGCCGCGTGCCGCGCGACTGACGCTACTTTAGTTCGTGGACCCACCATATTCCCTACCCTCTGCCTTTCTCTCCCCCCCTTCTCTTTCTCACTCACTATACTCTGCTCTTTACTACCACTCATAAATTCATAAGCATCTGAACACTGATGAATTTCGAGTAACGTCGTATCGATATTACTAAAATCGCACGAGCTAATAATAAACGAACCAAAAATGCGATTTATCAATTTCTTGCAACAATAAATTACACGATCGAGAATCAATAATTAATAGAGCGATACGCGTACGTACATTATATTAAATTTAAATTATTTCTTTAAAAATCCTTTGCGTCGTTTAGGTTAGTCAAATTGGTATTCGTACGAATCTGGTTATTTGACTCGAAGTCATTGGAATTAAATATGCGTACAGGACAAAGTTCGTTAGCGAACCTATTTATGTATTTGTTTCCTCCTTTATTGCTTCTCTATACTTCGAATACACAGATGCTGCGTGAATACACGTAATTCTCAAATTTCACGACTCACGACTTCTAACCCAGTAGATAAATAAGGTACGTATCTGTTCGAGTCTTTTCGTTCATCGCAGACAATGGCTTCACGCGTTTGAAAATTTATGTCGTCTTCGGCTTTTGAAAGAAACAAATCAGGACGAAAAGAAAATGGAATCGCGAAGAAGCTTACTCACGGCATGTTTCGAGGAATCGTATCGTTTACGAAACATTCGGAGAACAAACTACTCGCTGAGAATTTTACAGTTTTGGTACAATTATACGTCTTTCGATCTATCTTTCCATTTTTTCCGAAATGCCAAGTTACAATCATTTCTTTGAATCTAGCGATTTCACAGATTTACTTTCTTTTTCTGCTTTGTACCATCTTATAACTTTTTTGCTACTGTGAATGCTTCTGAATGCGTGGGAATACTGTTTACAGAAACACCGACCGCGTCATCGCTCCTTTCCTTACTGTTAAATCTCTTCCGATGATTTGATCTGCATCTGATCAGTTACCAGTCGTTAGTATGTTTAGTATATTTAGAATATTTATTTTTTTGTCAATGTCTATTTGATATTGTTCGTATAATCGAGCCTTTCCTGTCCTATTACACGTATTATATACCGTTTTGTATTTTCTAAAAACCGATCGATCGAACTTGAACGAAGAATCTGTTTGATATTTGAAGAAATAATTAATAATTCTTTGATTTTACCAATATACGTATTAATTTTCAAATAACAATGAAAAAGATAGTACTGCAGTTAAAATTAATCCCCGTTGCTTCCTTCGTTTTGAGACTTGCGTATCTTCTTATTCATTCGACTGAAAATATCCACTATATTTCGAGTGCTCTCATTCCTATTTATACATATACTCACGGACCAATGAATCGTATTATACAAAAGAATAAAAATCCTCGGTTTAACTAACTGACCGCTAAACCCCGGGTACCATGGTTACCTACATTCGAGCCTGAAACACCCACACATAGCGATGGCCGTATGTAGCCGTCACGTTCTCTCTAACTTTTCATCCAGTCGTCTTTTTTTCACTTTCAAAGTTTCAGACCTTCATAGGGACCTTGCGAGTTTGTATTTCACGAGAGCGAAGTAATTTTCAGAACCGACTGAAAAATATTTCACATCTTTTGCAGAAATATTCAATTTTACACTGTATTTTACAAAAAGCATCGCATTGTGTCGAGTTTCGTATGGGAAGTACGTTAGATGTGCATCCTAAAATTAAATAAGAGAACAGAGACTGTTTTCAGGTTAACAGCTTGTTTCCTACTTATTGCGACAGTTATTTACTTACTTTTGGAGAAATTGCCGGGAATAATCATATCCATAGCTTAACGGCAATGAATTATCATACGTTTAAACTTTATACTCGAAAATTATATTTTACGACAAGAATTAAACAAAGAATTAAAAAAGAAAAATCTGATTTATATCGATGCCTTTGCTTATCGTTCGAAGTTCGTCCATATTCGTCGTTGTAGATACGTCGACGCTTTATAGGATACGTATTAGTCGAATAAAATTCGTTTGAACGTTGAAAATACAGATATGGTCGCGGCGACTGAGAAATACATTAGTCAAAGGAAAACAGAGAAGGAGAAAGATATAAAGCAGGAAAGAAGACGAAACAACAAGTGTAGAAACCTAAGCATAGTTAACAATGGTATACGCAACTCAGGGACAGTTGTATCAATATCAATATCTGAGAAGAATAACGTGGGCCAACGACCAGCCGTTTCCCGCAAGATAAAAGCGCGTTAGGCCAAGAGATACGCCATGAATTCATCCTGCCGAAGACGTGTGGGTGTGTTCTACCGGAAATACAACACCGGAACCGCGGCAAATTACAGCGCTAACTCGACGCTCCTCCAATGTTGCAATTACAAAATTACTTTTTCGAAAAGAAATGTTTAGCGAAAGATTACATTTGCATCCTACGTGACACGCCAAACTCGTCGTTGTCGCGTCGTGTTACGGAAAAAATACTGATCGTAAGAGTCGTATGTGATGCGACGCAAAAGAGTAAAAAGATATATATAAGGACGAACGATACGTAGCGGATATCTGTGTATCGTGTGAAAAATACGCGCGCGCATGCTATCTTTATTTATACGATAAATTCTTTTATCGATATAATAAAAGTAGCGTATAAATAAAAGAAACAATGATTCGACCGTGGAAATTTCATATACATACGCGATATAAAAAAGACCTGTTCTTGTATGTCAAACTTGCATAAAGAGTTGTGAACGATCCAAATAAAGAGACGAATAAAAACATTGATATAGGAATATCAAAATGATTCATAAACATACGCGGCACGTCGGAAGTCACTGATTGTTTCGAAGGATGGTGACCTCTGTCTCTCTGTCTGCCACAGGTCAATCGCCTTTTTACCAATTAACTTGATCCCTCTGTCGTCGTAAATTAAGCAACAGCTCTTGACTTACTCACCTACTGTATCTAAAAATTCAATTGCCAACTAGAATTGTTTCAAACGTAGTAGCCATTAAAATGTATACGGTATACTTCTCTTTTTCAGTCATCTAATTTATCTTAACACATTTTTAATCCCAAAAACGTAAATATAACATCCGTTTAGATAGATCTTACTTCACAAGATCACTCGAGGGATACTATCAGATTCTTAGTCGACTCTATTCTTTAACATAATACCGCATATCGTGTTGTATGCGTAAAATGCGATGTATCGTGCAATATAGAAATATAAAGCGGATAGAGTAACATAAGAATCGAAAAATCGAATTTCAAGAGGAACGATGATGCTTTCACGCGTATTTCTCAGCTATTCTAAAATAATTGCGTTTTATAAATCATTAGTAAAATAATGAAAAATACCAAGTGACTATTATTAATAATAGAATATTATATATATACAATGAAATAACATTGGTAGTTGGGGTTCTGTACGTATGAATGTAGTTTGGCAGCCGGCGCGACGCGATGCAATGCGATATCATTGACTAAATGCAAGATAGACCACGGTCCTATACATACACAAGTCTGGAAATTCCCGTGGTGGGGATAATTTTACAAATCGGCCACCAGCCGTAGCGCTGCAATCGATTCGTTAAACTTTTGCATTTAACGCCATCTTCGCCACTCTTACCACTGTAGGTAACTAATATAGACCGAACTATTTTTCATAACCTTTCTCAATTTATCTAAAATAAACGTATAATATTTCGCGTGGCACAGAGGGATGTTGTTTAAATAAATGTAAATTTACGCAATACAGTAGAGTTCAACGGCAGACATGGCCGTGTTGCAGATTACGGACACAAGGCGCGCTGTACGACGAAATCTAACGAATCGATCGAAGCGCCTTACTTGGGAAATATTTTCTGCCCGCTAAAAGCCTTACATTCTTACATGTAACTACAAATGGAGATAAAATAAAAAAATAAAAAAAAAGAGAGGCTTCACGACGCCCCACGAGAATTTCCAGACCTGTATCTACGACTGTGTTGCATTGGGGCGTAATTTGTCCGTTAGGATTATCGATAAATTGTACGGCGAGTTTCTGAGTCAGGATACCTACTTACCTATATGTACTTGATGTCGTATGAAAGTAGGAAAGGTAAAAAATTCACATTTTCGTGTTTGGAACGTGTGAGGTTACATTTTTATCTCAAACAAATCGCAGTAGTGCGCGATGCTTTCTTAAGTATTATAGAAGTGAACAATTTTATACTTCGTTACGATCATAGGATATCTCGTTCCGTACTTTATTTATAATTTATAATTTATAATTTCATTTAGTTTTTATTCAAACCAGTACTACACTGAATCGATAATGTCACACGCGACACAAAAATCGTATAAGGAAGTCACTGCTTTAATCAATGTGGTCAGTGGTGTCATTACAAACGATTCGCATTTCTATTTCTTCAGCCATCAAACAGGTCGTAAAATAAAAAATTTGAGCTTGCATTGTTCAAGTATAATTAAAATCTCAGATTACAACACATAAACTAGCATTAAAATCGTGTTTGTTAGAATTTTTTCATGTTTACGTTTCGTTCTTTACCTTACTTTGTCACTATGCTCGCTTCGTGTATTTGTCCATTGCACGATACGATCTACGTCTGAACTAGAATTTTTTAATTTTGTTTATATATACAGAGCGATTCCACTTTTCAGTCAGAATTTGCACAGTTGGTTAAATTTCAATCGATAAGTGTTAAACTTTTATATAAATTAAATTTAAAGTGTTATGTATGCTTTTAAAGGCTTTATGTTACAGATGGTCTAGAAAACAAATTTACCGACAATTTGATACGTGTAGTTAAAATTTAGCCATGCTTCTTGATATCTGGACTGTTCTCTCGTATAGTGTATATATTCCATAAATTATTTTCACGTGTCTCGAGGATTGATCGAATGTCTCTTCGATTCTTTAGGCGGCGGACGGGAATATTCTTTCTGTTTCAAATTTCAAATTTTTACTCGGAATTAAAAGATCAGCGAAATAGTTCTGTGCTTCTTGAAAATAGAATTACGAGACAAATTCGTAGACTGGACAATTACACGCGATTTCTAATACGTAGTGCATAACTGCTGAGTATTCTTTCGAGATTGCGTTTGTTTTTAATTGAAAAATTCCACGTGAGGAAAGCCCATTGGAGGGTCTCCCGCATAATCACCTCCTCGTGATGAAACTTATTCAGAGATCGTGGTATTTCTCAATGTATGATTCCAAGTCCCATAAAATGCGATACCTACGTAACCTATACCTTGTCTGTTTTATTAAGTAACCAATTACAAAAATAACGATAATTAGACTGCAGATTTTTGTACGTCTATAGGAAATTTAAACGCGCAAAACCACACAGAATAATAACAGCAAAGTATAATGCTTCCTGTAATACTTGACAGGTAAAGAAATTCTACTTCTTTAATTGTGTTTTCAAAAATATAAATTTGCATAAAAATCCAATAATAAATAACCACGAGGTAACGCGAAACCCCGATTCATATCCAATTCGTTGTATTTATCATTCTCTTCACAAAGTAATTTACATATTATATGTATCTTCTAGTAATTGATCTTTTAATTGAAATAAATTAACATTCAAAATTTATCGGTAAATTAAATTAACAAATAATAAATACATATGTTACTTTCATTATACCACTCTAATTGGAATCATCTATGTGCGATATAATTAAGGATACATCACGAATCGGTAATTGTAGCGTTAATTGGATAAAAGATGCAATACGATTCGCTCTACGTAGTCGAAGAAGTTTTCGACTGTACGAAAATTAACTTACACTGCCTATCCATTCAAATTCATTCGCATTGGGCATGAAAAGTCACCCGTTAAAAACCGCGAATGTCCGCTATACAAAATACGTTCTACGGTTACCAGTAATCGTAAATGCTCAGAAATACCACGCTAATCCCTCGTCTTTCTTTTTGCCTTTATTTCCTCCTTCGTATTCCAACTTGGTAAACGATACCTCTCACAGCGGGTTGTATTCTAGCAGACCGACTTATAACGATACTATCTTACGATGAGATCTGCTCTCAGCGGGCAAATATGCACCTGCAGCTTTTTATGCCTCGTAAATCGATTAGATTCCGTTAGCCTTTTTGGTTACGACGATTGAAAATTTCATTTATTTTAGATCTGTATGTATCAAATGTGGGAGAATTTTAGTCGACGTTAGAACAACAAATAACTATTTGAGATAATATTCTTGTTGGTTATTTTCCAATTATTCGAAAATATAGAAGGCGATATTTTTAAAACATAACCGCGTCATGCATCGATAAAAGTTATATACACTTGTTAAGAAAGCTAATTCTGTTATCTTTTAGCCAGTGAAATATGTGATAACCATAACGAGTATACGAAGAAAATGCCTGCTACAATGCGATAAAGTATAAAGTTCAAGTATATGCACGCAGAGAATTCAAACAGTGTCATCGCGATAACGCAATCTTTAAGTAAAAGGGAACGTCAGGCAAGAAATCCGGAAACTAACCTGCAAATGTTAACGAACTCTGTTTACACGGAATACTAATTTAAGATTCACTCAGAGTTAAGGTACCTGCGGCTAAGCGTAGCATACCTTGGACTTCATTTTCTCGAAACAACCAGCCATGTTATCCTGTTTGCCGATATCTTCCGAATAATCGCAATTAATTGCCAGACGAATTGAATATAACGGTCAATAACGATCCTATACCGAATCCTGTTATTCATGGCGGATTCAAAATACTCGATTTAATTATTTAAAACGACGAGAAATTCGTTCACAGCCTAAGAAACATATCGTAGGAAACGAAACATTCTTCGAACGATATAACGGATTTAAACGAATCGCCCGACCAGACAAACGTTCAACCGCCTTATTGGCAAAAAATCAACGAGGATGAAATTCATCCGTCGCCGATTATCGCATATGTTTCAACGAAATTCTTGCATTACGAAACTACCCAAGCCTTCGACTTCCCTCGAATGCTAAAATTTCTATAAATACGACATTTTCTTGAAGCTTAAGCTGATCCAGGGAAGAAGATTACGCGAATATTCCAATTACGCCTCTATGTTTTCACGTGGTTGATAATTAGAACGATA